TTCATCTGTATTTTTAAATTTTTGCCAATATCTTCTAACAGTCGGATAAGGAATCCCTTTAAGTTTTGCCACACTTCTTATGCTTTGATTTTCTCTCGATATGAGGTCTAAAGCACTTCGCATCTGCTCTTCACTGTGCATGCCAATGTTTGTTTTTCTAACTCGGTTGCGTGGCATTTTGAATCTGAAACAATAAATAAACGTAATCATAAACCAAATTATGATTAATGAAATTAAATGCATACATTCTAAGGGCCGGTTGTTCGAACGCTATTCAAAAATGATCATTACCAAATATTTAATTACTGTCACCAACTGTCAATGTCAATTTTTATTGGGTTGCTGAAAACATAATCGATTACCATTATGAAATTAGTTAATCAATTATGTTAATAATTGTTATGTTAATTGATTCACTAATCTCATAATTGTACTCAATTTATTATGTTTTCAGCAACCCAATTAAAGTTGACATTGACAGTTGGTGACAGTAATTAAATATTTGATAATAATCATTGTTGATTAGCGTTCGAACAACCGGCCTTGTATAACATTTGCACAGTAAACCATTATGGGTTACAGTGAACCAGGTTCAGTGTAACCCATTCGTCAATGGTTCGCTGTTACCCACCGCCACCTATTTAACTAAAAAATTTATTTAAACAAAAATAAACTACATTGATTTGAAAGACAAGATAAACAGTATGTACAAAGACCTATTAAGTAGCTTGGAACTATAATTGATCTGAATTTACCGCCAGGCTTGGAACAAAACAAATAAATACAACAATGTGAAAAAAAGCATTCGACTTACCGTTCAGCAGATATCGAAATAAACATCTACACACTATGTTAGCTTGATGCGAACTAAAGTAGTAAGGTGTCGCGTAAAACCAGCAGATATTTGAAGAATAGAGTTGGGCGATAAAGTGCATAGGCAAAGAGTGGGGGCTGCTGGTTCACTGTGTAACATGGTTCACTGTGACCCAAGTTCCCCTACCTTATTGTCAATTTGGGTTGTATGTAACTTCCCGTAATGTCAAAATACAAACTAACGGTTTAAAATAAATGAAATTACGACCATCACAAACAGAAAATATATCAAAATTAATTGATTTCTTGTGGAAATGTAAGAAATTTAATAAATTAATCTTAAAATAAACTTTTTACTTACCAAAATTCTAAAATCTCGATCAAAAACTCAGATCACAGCAAATAATGAACAGAAGCATGGAAATAACGGACGATAAGGTGTGTTACTGACCAAATGACAATGTGGGCTGTTACATTTTTTAAGGTAGAGCCTGGTAGAGCGTTCTCTAGTGGCTATTTTTTAAAACTTGTAGCACTGGTCGATGCGCCTTCTCAATACGAATCGAATAATAGGCATACCTCATATTCGTTAAAAATGACGTTAGGGTATGTTGCTCTGACGATGACGATGTGATGGAATGTTTGATTTCAATTTTCAAAGTGTGAAGGAATATTTGATAATAAATTATTAGATAGAATTGTAATTTTTGTTGAGGACTGATCTGTATTATCATCAAATAATTTACGTTTGGGTACAATTTTTTCTCAGGGCTTGGAAATTTAGTATGGGCGAGAAATATTTTCAGATATAATCTCAAATTCGCTTTTGGTATAGGTGAATGCTTGAAAATGTCAATACTATCTTGGTTATTTACAGAGCTTGATGATTTTGTGTGAGAATGAGATTCTGGTATAGGAACTTTGACAAATTCAGGTAATGGTGGCTCAAAAACCTCAATATTGTTACTTCTACTTTCCTGGTTTAGAGAAGAAAACACTTTCAATGCTTTTTTTATCTTTTTTTAATATTTTTCAATAGGAATGTGCACTTTTACACCTTTTTTTTTAAATTTTGTTGAGGTCATTTCTATGGGTTTGTTTACTTTTCTCTTCAGACTTAAGAGTTTTAGCTAATGTTTTGGGATTTTTATTATTCGAGCTTTTTATTTTCTTTTTATTTTCCTTAATACTCTGTTTTTCTTTTCTTTTAAGTTTCCTTTGTTCCTTTTTACGCTCCTCTTCTAACTTTTTCCTTTTTTTTTATTTTTCTTCTATCTGATGAAGTTAGAACAAATGGAAGCTTTTGAGTTTCCTTCCTTTCTTTTCGTGCTGGAGTATCTGGCCATATTAACTAAGTCGCAATAGATTTATTTGTAGAATTTACAGATATATTTTCAGAAATGTTTAGGGATTTCTCGGGTTTTTTGATTTTTTGACCTTTAACCGTTTTCGTCAAACTTTAATTAGCTTGATTTGTATATTCTTGTATGTTGAAAATTTCATTCTCAGGTACCATCAAGGTTTCGTTCTCGATTTCAGGATGTTTACAATTTCAGTATCATCTATTATTAGATGTATCATTCAGTATGATCTTTTGAATGGTCAAGAGCAGAAGAATTAGAAGTAAATATACAGCATGCCCTAAACCCACTTCTGATAACATCTGGATTGAACCTATCTATAGCAGATTTTAAAACAGGGGCAAACTGTACTTTCGTTAACACTTTTTGGGGGTTGTCTCTCCTAAACTGAAGCACAGCTTTGTTCCAAAAAGGTTTTAGAGGCTGAAATGCAGCCGCTGGTTGCAATAATCTCGTGGCATTAGAATATAAAGCTACTAAAATATTTTTCAAATCTGTACAAAGTTGACTTGTCTGTACAATTGAATGGGTTTTATGCCCATCAACAAAAAGTATCACCAGACGTATCATATTATTTCGATCTAAATAAGGGTTAAATGTATTTCCAATATATTCATAAAAGTTTTTGTTGTCCATCCAACCATTTTCAGTTAAACCAACACCCCACGAATTCGGCACAGCACTTAGTATATGATTTGGAAATCTTTTATAGGGATAATTATCATAAGAGGTAAAATATTGCATATTGCAGCAAATGTAAACATAACTGTTAAGTTAACCTTTGGGTTATGTTCAATTTCATAGACGTTTCTGGAACCCTTCATAGCCAAAACCTTTTTATTTTTGGGACATAGATAAAAACATGTCTCGTCACCATTGAAAGTTATTGTTGGATCTTTAAGAACGTCTGAAAGTCCTTTTTATTTAGATAAGATTTTATGTTGTCAAACCATTTTGTAATATCCCTTTGCTTAATATTTGAACTTGCTGATGTCACTCCCTCTGAAGTCCTTAGCGAAATGTTGGGATTGCGCTTTAGAAATGCTGATAGCCATGTTCTACCTGGTTTATTTTCAACAAATGGATTAACTCTAGGGTTACTCTCTAAAAATGATTTTAACGGAATCCTTAATGTCGTCAACACGAACAGGAAATCCTCTATTTTGACAATGAAAAATCCAGAGTTTCAGTTGTTCCTCTTCATCCTTCGAAAGAAATGGATCTGGTCCATGGGTTATCTTGTAATAAAAATTTTCACTTTTCCGGTAACTTATAGTGGCTCTGGGAATATTAGGACTTATAGAATATTTAGACTAAACTTATTGAGACTTCTCGCTCACTCATACCATTTTTAATTAACTCTAACGCTTTTTCATCGTCTTCGGAATACTTTTTTTTATAATTGTTTTTAGTTTTAGATCGTTTTGGCATATTTTCTAAAACAATTTATATTAATTAGTTATTTGCCACATATAAAACACTAGTTATTAACATATGTCAATCACTAGATTCTTACAAAATCTAATGTTTCAGTTATTGGCCATCTAGGCCAATAACTGATACATTTATTACAGATAAATTTATTACTGATACAGTTATTTGTATAAATAATGTTATATTCGTTATGCAGTTTGGAACACGACATACACTATATTCTCACAAAAACATAAAGTATAAAGTAGAAAGCATAGATTAAGTATATATAAGTAGGTAGAAAGTAAATTGCAGTAGGTACCTATATAGTACTTACCGACCAACACAAGTTTCTGTAGGTAAATAACAAAATTTCGGTTGCAAACTAGCGGCACATAACAGTGTCTCATTCAACAATGAATACTGACTAAAATTTAATGGTTACTTTGAAACTAGATGTGTCATACTCTAGGAGACATGTTGCCAAACTTAAAAAAAGTAGTTAGAATTAACAAAATACCAACATTTTCTTAACTCTAATCAAAACATATTAGTAGGCCAATAACTAGCACATGGCCAACAACTGGTGCATTTACCCTATTATATTTTTATTATTTTACTTGCATTTATTATTTATTTGCTTTGCTTCTATGGCCTTATTTTGTAGCTAATATATGTTTGCCCTTAAACTCTAGAGTTTCTGGTAACATTACGCTGAGATTCATTCGATTTCCTAATTTACTTACGCCTTTTAGTAGCAGGCTCTCGATCCTTAGCGTTTTCAGCTCTGGTGGTTGGTTGATCGTTGTCCATAATAATATTATAATATGAACGATTTTCAGTCAATATACAGACAACTTTTTGTAAGCAGCAATAAGAACAAACAATAGAAACACTATGAATTTTATAGGTTATGGTAAACGTCGATATGCAAAATAATAACTGAAAATTTAGTGGAGAAACAACCTTAGTCCGGTACTAAGGTGGTTTCAGAAATATATGAATATTTTAAATCGATATAAAATCAACTATGCTTGCGAGACTTGCAGTGTATTCTGCATTAAATTATGTGTAACTCACAGAAATATATGTTGGTCTTATCAACTCAAAATCGCCAAAATGTGACTTACGAAGTTGCTGAAATAAGCGATTCACATATAGTATATTAATTTGAAAAATGAATTAATTAAGCAAGAAGTTTGATCTGAACAATATGTTCTTATAAGTATCATTTAACTTCAAATATCTCAAAAAGCCATGCTTTTGTTTTCAGTTTAAAAAAATAACCACAATGGAAGATTTTACGAGTAGCGTGAAGTTTAGAAATTACATTACACTAGGCAAGAAACTTTTTTTGCCACAAGATATACTAATTATATTGTATTTTGTCTAAAGTAAACCCTTCATTTGTAGAAACCAAGGGCAACCTCACAAGGTGCCGTGCAAATAGCAATTGCCAAAGAATTTGAGAATGTAACAGGGAGTTTTGTCGGAAACCTTTTAAATAATGTTAAACCTAGAGCAGCTAACGATAAAAAAATTTGTGAAGCGATCTGGAGGGCGTCAGAAGAAATGGTGAAACTGAAACCAGAGGAAAGACTAGACCAGACTTAATCATATCAGAGATGTCCCTTTATCAAATAATTTATTAAAATACTAGATTCTAATTATTTGTTATTTTAATTAAAATAAATAAATGTATTAATATATTAATGTATTATTTTTCCCATAAGTAGTGAATATAAATATTCTAGTAAGAATCATAAACCTTATCATCCACTTATCATTATTTGTAGTCTAGAACAGAAGAACTAAAACAAAACCAAATTTTTCTTTATTTATCATATGGCAATTACAACACATTTAGAACAAAATTACAAACACTAGTAATGTGGGTATATGACAAACTTTAAATAGTTACAAACAAACATCAAGTGTATGAACATAATCAATTGACTCTGAAATTGCAAACAGGAAGTCTTTAGGGATACCATTGTAGGATCTTGAGGGACACTTTTCAATAATGTGGTCGATCGTTTGGTTTTTCCCACAGTCACATTGAGAAGACGGATTCTTTTCCCATTTATGTAGCATATATGCACTTCTGCCATGTCTGGTTCCGATCCTGTTTAGAGTGGACCATGTTTTACGTGGAAGATCAAAACCTGGTGGTTTGTGGGTAATACAGGGCATGTTATTTTGCCATGCATTCCATTCCTGGGACCATGCACTCGTGATGTTGAACCCCTCATGTATCATTCTTGCCGTTTTCATTGGTGGTTTTCTAGAACGTAGACGGGTATTTCGTGCATCCTCGGTATCTTGGTGGATCGGCAGGTTTATATTGTTCATGATCTTTTTGTATTCACGTGTAAGTACGTCAACTCGTCGTAAATGTGGAGGTGGCATGTGACTTAATACTGGTAGCCATTGGGTGGGAGTTAATTTAATTGTACCAGCTATCATTCTCATAGTGCTGTGCAGCTGAGTGTCGACCTTTTTTACGTGTGGACTGTGTAGCCAAACTGGGGCACAATATTCAGCGGTCAAGAAAACAAGGGCTAAAGCAGTAGAGCGGAAGCCGATGCTCCCCAGGTGGTACCGCAGAGCTTCTGTATAATGTTATTTCTTGTACTCAACTTTTGGGCAGTTTTTGTTAAATGCTCTTTAAATGATAGCGTTTTGTCTAGTGTTACGCCCAGGAACTTCGGTGTTTTGTTGTGAGAAAGTGTGGTATTTTCAAACCGTATGTTGAGTTCCTTTCCAGCAAGTTTATTGTTCAGGTGAAAGCAACTTACTTCTGTTTTGGATGCATTTGTTTGAAGCCGAAACTTGCAAAAATATTTATATATATAATTTAGCTCTCCAAGCTTAGAAGGCCCATGGCTTGGTTTACTATTCTTTTCCATTATTTTCTGTTTGTTGGTTTATTTTTCCAGTTTGGTATTTTAAGTTTTTCTATGTCTTTTTCAACATCCTTCTTCCACCTGGTTTTCGGTCTGCCTTTCTTCCTTTTCCCTCCTATTCCTCCCATTAGCATTCTTTTTGGCAGTCTCGTGTTTCCCATTCTTTGGATGTGTCCCAACCACCTCAGTCTTTGTGACTTTATGATCCCTACGATATTCGGTTCTTCATACATCTCCTCTAATTCCATATTTGGTCTTTTTATCCATATACCATTCCATATTTTACCTCCAAATATTTTCCTGAGGACTTTTCTTTCCCAGACTTGCAGTAGGACTTGGTCGGTTTTGTTCATTGTCCATGTTTTACTGGCATATAATACAATAGGTCTTATTACTGTCTTATATATTCTTATCTTAGCCCTTCGAGACAAATTTATTGTTTAGTGCAAAAATACAACGGTTACAGGCCATAATTCTCGCTTGGATTTCTTCCTTCATATTTGGTCTTCTCGTGAATGTCGTTCCTAAATACTGGAATATTTCTACTTCTTCGAATTTATATGTTTTTTTCATATGTTATTACTGTCAGATATTGTTCTTGTAGGTTTTCTCTTTCTGTCCATTCCATATATTTGGTCTTTTCTTCATTTATGTACATCCGTTTCTTTCTCGCTTTCATTTCTAATCTTTTTGTTATTTCTTTTAATTCTTGCGTACTTCTGGCTATCAGTACAATGTCGTCAGCGAATGCTAAGCATTGGTGTTATCTTTGATATATACTGTTTGACCTGTTGATTCCAGCTTCTCTGATGGTAACTTCGAGGACGATACTGAACAACAGCGATGACAGTGGGTCTCCTTGTCGCACCCCCTCACTGACCTCAAACTTATCTGTTTCTTCGCCATTTATTTTAACCCTATTCTCTGTTCTTCGTAGTGTCACTTTTACCATTCTTATCAGTTTTTCACTAATTTCACGTAGTGCTTTGTATATTTCTTTGCGTTTTATCCTATCGAACGCTTGTTTAAAGTCGATGAATAGGGCCATTGTAGGTTTCCCATATTCGTAGCTTTCTGCTTGTATTTCGCGCAGTAGGAAAATTTGATCCACTGTGCTGCGCCCTCTTCTGAATCCACATTGATATAATCCTATGTCATTATCTATATTTTGAGATAGCTTATCTTTTATATATATTGCAAGTATTTTATATGCAACATTTAGTATTCCTATTTCCCTGTAAATGTGGTATAAACTTTTGTTGCTTTTTTTGTGAAAAGGGCACAGTGTCGCTTAGGTCCATTCCTTCGGTAATTATTCTTGTTCCCATATGTCTTTTAGCAACTTTTCCAAATGCTTCATTAGTACTGGTCCTCCATATTTAAACATTTCAGCTGTTACTTTATCTCTTCCTGGGCTCTTATTATTCTTTATTTTCTCTATTATTTTTTTATTTCTTTTTCGTTAGGCGGTCTTTCCTCTATTCGTTCTTGATCGACATTTTCCTTCACTTCTTCTTCCTCTTCATATTCTGTTGCTGGAATTTCATTTAAAAGTTCTTCAAAGTATTCTTTCCATCTGCTCAATATTTCTTCGTCACTTACTAAATTTCTTCTACTTTTGTTTTTGTAGTGTACCTACAGGTTTTTCTTGGTACCCCTTTTTCTCATTTTTCACCCCCCCTTGATATAAGTTTCTAATTTCTCTATTTTTATAGCTCTGTTCTATACATTTTAATTTATCTTCATTGTATTTTCTTTTCTTTGATCTTATTATTCTTTTGGCTCTTTTCCTTTGTTCATTGTATTTTCTCTTAATCTCTGTTGTTTTTTCTTGCATCATTTTCATTCTTAATTTATTTGTTCATCTAGTTCCATTTTACATTTCTATCGTGCTATGTATTAAGAGTATAAGTCAAAAATATCAATTTTTCACTAGGGCTCTTCAAAGTTTTTATTACCACTTTTGAAATAACTGTTACAACTAAATATCAAAATGATGATGAAATATGATTCATAACTGTAGTAATTACCTATTTTACTTTCTATTTTTATAATACCACATTAATTATAAATATTAGTTGACTTGTACTGTTAAGGCCATGTTTGCTTCATGACTTATACTCTTAGTCCTGCCAGTTTTGAGTGTATTGAGGATTTTACAAGTGATCAAAATAATCATGAACAGAAAAATATTAAATTAAACTCTTTATTCTTTACCTACATGATGAAATGTAATTATAAAAAAACATTACAATTAAAGTTCTAAAATTAACTTACAATAAAATTGTTATTCAGAATCTTCAGAATCGGAGCCTGGATATGTGTTTTTTACCCCTGCTGATGTTTTCATAGACTTATAAAAATTATGAAATTGGGGATGTATTAGGGTTAAAAGGGCCATGATATCCTTTTTCTTTTCCACAGAAATTGGCAGACTTTTTTTGTAACACTTTGGAGGTTCTAGAGTAACATCGTCTGTGTTATTGCGACGATGGAGATCAATGCAACGGAATGGCTCATCCTTATCTAAGGTCAATTTAAAAAACATTTTTGCTGGCTCTCTTGTATATCTCAACCAACGAATATCTGTCCATTTGAAGGAAAGACCGACCTCATCCTTTGTCCTTAAAAACAGATCTTTTTTGTAGAGAGCTGCAAAATCTAAAAAATCCTTGTGATTTAGTTCAACAACACTGAACTTTTTTTTCTTTCCACATGTGCGAACTAGCTGGTACCAGTCGTATGGCGTAGAAATTGGCATTTGCAAAGTTTTTTTTTGCTTTTCAATCATCCCGTGGTCAACATCGCATTCAAGATGACTGTGACCACTCACCATGAATTTATGATCTATGCATTGCAGTTGAGGACATTTTTGCATTAGAGTTAAAAACATTGCTGAAACATGAGAGTTCCTGTTTTGTCCTCCGCACGAATCAGAATACAAAATGACGTTTTTAATTGATATTGGGAGAGAAGAAAGTTCTTGATAGAGGCACGTCGCAATTTGGTTAGCACCTCTGCCACCTTCCGCCTCATGCCACATGTAGCACTTAACTGCCCCACTACTTGTATTATGCATAGTAAGGTTAAAAGTCCACAACTGCCTCTTGTAGAAGGCTACTGACGTATTAAGGTAAGGTGTAGGCAAACATTGCTGTAGATCAAACGCAAAGCAAATTTTCTCATCTTTGTTTAGCTTAGCATCTACTTTGTCTTCCTTTTTCATGTCATACGCTAAATCTGCTTCGTCTAGGTGCATTTTTCGTTCATTTTCCACAATCTTACGTTCATGTTCATTTTGAGCAATTTTTATCTTCATCAAGAGAGTGTCACATTTGTGACAAGTATCTACTTTTGGTTTTTTGAAGGAAATATTTTGCTTATGGAATTCACGTTCATATATTGCTCTAGAAGCAGGGTTGTGGACATTTTTCTGGTACAGCGAGTACATAATTGCTAAATTTAAATAGGGTGGTAGATATTTTTTCACGCTTTTCTTTCTTGAGTAATGTGACTCGTATGCTGGAAATGATTTTATGTGATCTTGAATATGTTTAATTCTCACATCTGAAATTTTTGATGGTGGAGGTTCTTTGCCTCTTTGATCACATTTTGATATGCCTGATGTTGACTTGAGAGATGAAGAAATGGCAAGTGTCACGAACATATTAGTTTCACCTAGTACCTTCATAAAACAACCGCGACATACTTTGCTTTTTGTACCATTTATTTTAAAGAAAAAGTTATGTGTCCACTGCCTAAACTTTTCTTTATTTGGATCATCTGTTCGTTTACGCATA